AGCAAGAACCACAATGATGGTTTTGGCCAACATGCAAGAAACAGCCACTGAGAAGATGATTCCAAAAGCAGTCTGTCGAAGGAGACAGGTCACCTTCATTGGTCGACCGATGAAAAGCAGCGAACAAAGAAAGGAAAGGAGGAGGGAAATGAGGAGGGTGTAGGAGAGGCTGCGGTTGTTGGCTTTGATGATGGGAGTGTTGTGGTACTTCAAGAAGATTCCTAACACCAGTATTGTGATAAAAGAAAGCACAAGAGCTGATGTAGCTAAGCCGGCCCCCAATAGTTCTTTGAAGGATAGGTAAGTTACATGCTTTGGCATGCATAAATCCTGGTTGTTGTTTGGATATTGATCTTCTGGGCACTGGAAGCAATCATCCATATCTGGAAAACCAAATGTTTATATTTAAGTCAAAATATACCAGAAAGCTTGGAGTTCTTTTTGTAGATGATGGTACCATTATGAATATAACCATGTTAGTAACTGTTATGATTGAACTTCTATGAAACTAATTGTTCTTGGCCTAGGTTTCATACTAAAGTTCACATTGTTGTCAAATATTGCTAGGAAAGCCTTTTATTTTGTATTACATACCAGTATATTTATCTTAGATAAATTATAGTTGTACCTTCGTCCCACCTTCCCTCCCTTCCTTCTTGGTATTGATCTTAATAATTTCTCTGGTCAATATTAGTATTTTCCTAATTATACTGAAATATGTGATCTATATGTTTGTGTGTGCATATATCTTTTGGAATTGACACTTCTTGTGCAGTTAGTTTTGTTTTTTTTTGTTTGTTTCTTTTTATTGAATTTATATACCGCCCTACTCCCGAAGGACTCAGGGCGGTGAACAGCCATAGAATAAAACATATAAATACAAAATTTAAAATAAAATAAAAGGAATTAAATAATTTGGCTGAACAAATTTAAAACCCCAATAATTTAAAACAACTTTAAAATTTCCATTTAAAAAGGGGAAAGACTTAGGTCAGGCCAGCTTGATGAAATAAGAAAGTCTTGAGCGCGCGACGGAAGGTACACAGATCCGGGATCCTCCGTATCTCCGGGGGGAGCTCGTTCCAGATAGTAGGTGCCCCCACAGAGAAGGCTCTCCCCCTGGGGGACGCCAGTCAACATTGTTTGGCCGACAGCACCCGGAGGAGCCCCTCTCTATGGGAGCGTACTGGTCGGTGGGAGGCTATTGGTGGTAGCAGGCGGTCACGTAGATAACCAGGTCCTAAACCATGGAGCGCACTAAAGGTGATAACCAAAACCTTGAAGCGCACTCGGAAGACCACCAGGAGCCAGTGCAGCTCGCGCAGGAGAGGTGTTACATGGGAGCGCCATGTCGCTCCCATCACCACCCACGCGGCCGCACTCTGCGCCAGTTAGAGCCTCCGAGTGCTCTCAAGGGGAGCCCCATGTAGAGAGCGTTACAATAGTCCAGACAGGAGGTGACGAGGGCATGAGTGACCATGCATAAGGAGTCCCGATCTAGAAAGGGACGCAAATGGTGGTTCAGGAGAAATGATGAAAAATCCTCCCGGTCACAGCCATCAAGTGCTCTTCTAAAGACAGCGTGTGAATCCAGGAGGACACCCAAGTTGCGAGCCCTTTCCATGGGGGCCAATGATTCGCCCCCAATAGTCAGCGATGGTACCAGCTGACTATATTGGGACGTCGGAAACCACAGCCACTCGGTCTTGGATGGGTTGAGCCTGAGCCTGTTTCTCCCCATCCAGATCCGTACGGCCTCCAGGCACTGGGACATCACTTCAAGGGCATCGTTGAGGTGGTCTGGGGTGGAGATGTACAGCTGGGTGTTCGCAGTGTACTGGTGGTACTTCACCCGGAAACCACGGATGATCTCACCCAGCGGCTTTACATAAATGTTGAACAAAAGGGGTGAGAGGACCAATCCTTGTGGTACCCCACATATAAGGGACCTCAGGGTCAACCTCTGCCCCCCTGTCAACACAGACTGCGACGGTCGGAGAGAAAGGAGGAGAACCACCATAATACAGTGCCTCTCACCCCAACTCTTCCAAACGGTGCAGCATGATACCATGGTCGATGGTATCAAAAGCCGCTGAGAGATCTAACAGGACCAGGACAGAGGAGCACCCCCTGTCCCGAGCCCTCCAGAGATCATCCACCAATGCGACCAATGCCATTTCCAGGCTGTACCCAGGCCTGAAGCCCGACTGGAACGGATCTAGATATGTCGTTTCATCCAGGTACTGGGGAAGCTGTCATGCAACCACACTCTCAACAACCTTCGCCACAAAGTGAAAGTTGGAGACTGGACGATAATTAGCCAATACTGCCGGGTCCAGGGAAGGCTTCTTGAGGAGAGGTCTCACCACTGCTTCTTTCAAGGCAGCAGGAAAGACACCCTCGCCAATGAAGCATTTATAATCCCCTGGAGCCAGCCTCGCGTCACCTCCCAGGAAGCCAGCACTAACCAGGAGGGGCACGGGTCCAACAAACATGTGGTCGCGTTCAGTCTACCCAGAATCCTGTCCATGTCCTCAGGGGTCACAGGATCAAACTCATCCCAGATAACATTCTCAGGACCTGCCTCCGTCATCCCACTGGATCTACCCAGTCGGAGTCCAGATCTTCCCGAATCTGAGTGATTTTGTCATACAGATACTGAACAAAATCCTTGGCTCTTCCCTCCAAGGGGTCCTCCCGCGCTTCCTGGTGGAGCAGGGAGCGGGTCACCCTAAACAGGGCGGCCGGGCGATTATCTGATGATGCAATAAGAGCAGCAAAATGGCTACATTTTGCTGCTTTTATCGCCACTAGGTAATTCTTAATATGAGATTTTACCAGTATCCGGTCAGATTCAGCACAACTGGCCCTCCAACTATTCTCTAGGTGTCTTTTCTGGTGCTTCATCTCCCTTAGCTCCTCGGTGAACCAAGGAGCCAGGTGAGATCGGCGCCGGGTCAGAGGCCGCAAAGGCACGACTCGATCCAGAGCTCCAGCAGCCACCCTATCCCAGGCAGCCACTAGGTCTCCAGTCGAGGTGTGAGCCAGAACCTCGGGGATTGGCCCAAGCTCCATCTGGAACCTGTCAGGTTCCATCAGGTGCCTGGGGCAGTACCATCTTGTCAGTTCCGCCTCCCTGCAGCAGGGTGCAGCGGTTTGAAGGTCAAGGCGAAGGAGAGAGTGATCCGACCATGACAAGGGCTCAATGACTATATCCCCTATCTCGAGATCACTCAGCCACTGTCCAGAGACAAAAACCAAGTCCAATGTGTTTCCCCCCGTGAGTGTAGGGCCATGATTTAACTGGGTTAGGTCCATAGCCATCATGGAAGCCATGAACTCCCAAGCCGCCTCAGACGCCTCACCCATGGACGGCAGGTTGAAATCCCCCATGACCATAAATCTGGGGGTATCAACCGCCACTGCGGCGATAACGTTGAGAAGCTCAAGCAGAGCTGCTGCCACGTGGCAGGGAGCCAGGTACGTGATCAGCAAACCATCTGAACCCCATGACCCCACTTCACAAGGAGAGACTCACAGCCGGCCGTCTGAGGGACAGTGGCCTCCCTCGGCCTAAGGCCTTCTCTAATAACAACTGCTACTCCCCCACCCCTCCCCTGTGACCTAGGCTGATGGAATGCGTGGAAGCCTGATGGGCACATTTCTACCAGAGAGACCCCTCCCTCTGTGCCCAACCAGGTCTCCGTAATACCCGCCAGGTCCGCTCCCCCCTCCTGAATAAGATCACAAATGAGGGGGGCTTTATTTACTACAGACCTGGCATTGCACAACATCAGTCGCAGGCCTGGGCCCTGAGGGTCTGTGCAACCTGGAGAATGAGTGGAGCCTTGGGGGCCGGAGCTCGCCACCGCTTGAGGATAATGGGCGTGCGCTCCCTTAACATGATATGGCCCCCTGCTCCCGCCATATCTACCCCTCCCACTCACAGTACTGATGGTAAAAACACAACCTGGACAAGCTTGACCCCCCCATCACCCCCGGATCCCCCACGCCCCCTAATGCGCGTCATGGCCAGGCCCGACCCTCCCCTTAGTCGGTTATCCCCCAAACCCACAGCTCTAATTCCAATCCTACCCCTCCCCCCCGGGACCCCTTAAAAATTTATCCAAAAATTTACATAGAAAACCCCTCAACCCTCTCTTTGCCGCATGCCACCTCTCTGGGTTCCAAAACCCGTCATCGAGGTAGGCCCTCGATAACGTGGAGGGCCAGGCTTGCGAGAGGGGGCGAGTCTCGCAGTGCAAGAAGCTGAGACCTTAAATACATCAAAAGCCCTGAGATAGTAGTGAGGTATGGCCAAGGGGTCCATTATGATAGTCCAAAATTGTCCAGGAAAACAAGGCAGGTTGACCATAAACGGGAGAGTCTCCACTGTCCTCTCATGGCAGTGGCGGAGTCCAATGTTCCAACCATCTTGGGGTGATCCTCCAACCAGCCTCTCACGCTGGTCGGCCAACTGGCCATGGGAAAATGATGCATCCCATTCGGTGGTGAAACGATGATAGATACCGGCTCCATTCAACCTCCCGTAAACCGCCATTTTCCATACACCCAGCGTACTGGATGACAAACAGAGCCAGGTCCAAAGTCTCCAGGAAAAATAAGCTGTCTACAATGTTCGTACAGGCAGCGTATAGCTGGGTAGTATAGGCAAGCGGGTGGATGGGAAACAGGTGGGAAACCACCTCCACGAAGCAGAAACCGGCAGGGCAAGCATGTTAGTTATCGGGCCTGATAATGGCCTAATAATGGCTCAGTGGGGGAAGGAGGAGGGAGGGTTGTCCGAGGCGACGCAGGCCTCTCAACCCTCCTTAGCCCCCCCAGATCTCCAGCCACCCTATTTATGCCCAGTCTTAGCCCCCCACAATAGTTATAAAGGGGGCCTCACCATAGGGATTAAAAATTGGGAGTTACCCCAAAGTCCTATGGCGGCCTGAAGTTCCCAAGTATTACAGATTTTAACAATGGAGGCTCCCACCTCATGATCTTTTTTGGCTACACCACTCCAGTCCTCTCAGCAACTAGCTGCTGCAGCGGCGTCGGCGGAGGCGGAGGTGCAGGTCTCCTCACGGGCACTACCAGCAGCCACGTCTTCAATTCTTCCTCGTCTCCTTTGACGCCCACCTCCTTCCCCTAGCGTCTAACTCCACTACTCCACCGCAGGGGGGAGTGCAATCTGCGATGTCGCCAGCGCCCTCACTGCAGCCTCCACCGCAGCCGCTGCCCCAGCCATCATGCCGGCGGGGATCCCCAGCATGGAAGTTCCTCTGCTTCATTGCCGCTTCACTGTCTCCGCCACCACCGCCGCCACCATCCATAAATCGCGGACGCCGCCCTTCTCGTGGCGACCGTGGATCAGCTGTACCTTGGAGCCTCGGTGCCATGCTGTTTTTGGCAGCTTAGAAAGTATCTCAGAGAGCATGAAAGCTCTCAATCCACTGGCTTCAAGTAGCACTTGCTGGGCAAGGGGGTCTAGATGGTCAAGGCGACCCCCGGAGCTCCCCACAAGCCAAAAACCCATCTCTACCTCGGCAGACCTAGAGCCAGGTCACCATCTTGGAGCATGCACAGTAAAGAGAGTTCTTCAATGGAAATGAAATTTCCAAGAATCATTGAGATATTCCAGGTGAATCTGTCTGAATTGTAGAAAATGTAGAACCTGCAAACTGTATGGAGGTATCTCATTCTGGAGATGAATAATGGACTAAGTTAAGAACCCACCTCTCCCTTTGCGCATAATACTCCTTTCCTTCCATTTTTGTCAATTTCAAACCAATTTTACTATGTATTGTTTTAATATTTCATATTGTTCCTATTGATTATAAGCTATCTAGATCACCTGGAGGTGATATGCCTGGCATGTAAGTTAAATCAATAAATCAATAAATCAATAAATCAATAAATCATGAATGAATGAATAAATAAATAAAGAGCCTTGGTAGTACAGGGGCTTAAGGCACCCTGTTATTAAGCTTATTAATACCAGCTGCCTGCAATTACTGCAGGGTTCGAATCTCGCCAAGGCTCAAGGTTGACTCAGCCTTCCATCCTTTCTAAGGTAGGTGAAATGAGGACCCAGTTGTGGGGGCAATAAACTGACTTTGTATAAATATACAAAAGGATGAAGGCTATTGCTGAGCACATTGTAAGCCGCCCTGAGTCTTCGGGAGAAGGGCGGCATATAAATCAAATTAAAAAAAAATAATTGAATTATTTAATAGAAGGTTGTGGGGGTTAGTTCAATACATTCAGTGGTGGGATTCAAATAATTTAACAACTGGTTCTCTGCCGTAATGACCGGCTGAGTGGGCGTGTCCATGGTGGATGTGGCCAGGGGGCGTGACAGGTATCACTTGGCCTCCTGCACCCCTCTGGGAGCAAAAATGTGCCATGGGTGGGTGGACACGCCACCCCCGTGCCCTATTGGGGTCTAGGAGGCCTCCCTCCAGCCTCCTGGGGGCAAAAATGGACCACAAGGGGGGACGTGCTGCCACCCCAAACCCCATTTTGGGTCTAGTAGTCCTTCCTGAAGTCTTCTGGAAGTGAAAACAGGCCATGGGGACAGCACACCACACACCAATTCCTCGTTTTGGGCCTAGTAGGCCTCCCTGCACTTACCTGGAAGCCAAAATAGGGTGCGTGGGGACTCCTGGATGGGGCGGGGGCAGCTAAGCAATTTAACTACTGGTTCACCTGAACTGTAGAGCCTTGGTAGTACAGTGGTTTAATGCACCCTGTAATTAACACAGCTGCCTGCAATTTCTGCAAGTTCGAATCTTACAGGCTCAAGGTTGACTCAGCCTTCCATCCTTTCTAAGGTAGGTTAAATGAGGACCAGTTTGTGGGGGCAATAAGCTGACTTTGTATAAATATACAAAAGTATGAAGGCTATTGCTTAACGCATTGTAAGCCGCCCTGAGTCTTCTGGAGAAGGGCGGCATATAAATCAAATTAAAAAAAAAAAAAAAAAAAAAACTGGCCCGAACAAGCTGAATCCACCACTGAATACATTTGTGTGTAAAAATGTTTAGGTCAGAATAAGATTAACAGTAAGAGGAGGAGAAAAGTTTCTCCAGATACCTTTTATCAGTTCAAGAGTGAATGTACAATACTTAACTACGCGATCATAGAAATAGCAATAGCACTTAGATTTGAATATCATTTCATAGTGCTTTACGGCCATCTCTAAGTGGTTTACAGAGTCAGCATATTTCCCCCAACAATCTGGGTTGCCATTTTTGCAATCTCAGAAGGAGGAAGTCTGAGTCAACTTGAGCTTGTCAGGATCGAACTTCTGTCTGTGGGCAGAGTTAGCCTGCAATACTTCATTCTAAGCACTGCACCACCACAGTACATTGAACTGTGCTATCCACACAAAAATTTGGTCCTCATTGGACCTCCATTGGAAAACAAGACCCAAATGGAGCACATTAGAGTCATACATTAGGGTTCCAATGTCTGAACAATGGTAATAACGCTGATTGACATACCAAAAAATAGCTGTCAATAGATGCTCCTGGCCATAGCAATTGTTTGTTCCTCCATTAGCATCAATAAATCTAACAGAATATCAAACTACATGTCTATTCTTTTTGGGGGCATGAAACACCATTTAAAGTGGCCAGTCCTCAATTCCTAGGGCAAGACATCCCCATACCAAAGACTCCATCTTTCAAGATTTGTATCAGTTTCTTGCTACTCCTCCATCTTATCACCACATTTAGGGACTGGAACAGAACACTCCTAGTCCCTCTTGACTGAGGTGTTATGGGGAAGGGAGCTGTGAATTACTGGCCTGTTAAATCTTTACAATCACAGAGAGAGAAGGGACAATTTAGCCCAATTCAAGATCTACACAGACTAGAAATAGAAGTTAAAAGCATCTGTGTGAAGGTTCTGTGACTGACTTCTGCATTCTATCATGTTGAAGTTTACTCTTTGACAGTAATTGCTCACTGTTGCTTTCCCAATCTTTTTGATCCTTTCTTTTTTTTCTTTCTTTCTTTCTTTCTTTCTTTCTTTCTTTCTTTTTTTCACTTTCTTTCTTTCTCTCTTTCTTTCTCCTCCCTCCCTCCCTCCCTCCCTCACTCCCTCCCTTCCTTTTTCCTTCCTTCCTTCCTTCCTTCCTTCCTTCCTTCCTTCCTTCCTTCCTTCCTTCCTGTCTTTCCTCTCTACTCTTTCTTCCTCCCCTCCTTCCTCTTTTTTACCTGTCTGGTCTGAAATCTTCCCCTTTGGACATACAGTGCAATCATAGCAGCAAAATGATCGTCCTTCAATTTTGGTCTTTCTATAGCCTGGATGGCATTTTTCATTACAGAGTGAAAGAGGCCGTTCCTTTGCAAGAATGAAAAAGATATTTGTTATGTAGAAAATAACTTTCAAATTCTGTATTTGTAAAGCTTATAGATATCTGGGAATGCATGGCAGTTCTCCATTCTCTGAGAGGAAAACCTGATGTGTGAACATAAAACTGAAATCCGAACTGTCATCTGTCATCAAACATAGAAGGAAATGGTTTTCCAGAATATTCTTATGACTCTAGCTGAAACCAAATTTAGGACATCATATTTATTGTTTTAGTCCGTTTAGAACCCTCTAGAATCAAGCTCAACTTACAATGAATATAAGGTCTCATCTTGTTCTTTTTTAAACTATAATACTGGTGTATTTCCATTACATTTTGATTTTAGTTCTTTATGTATGCATTTATTCAATATCTCATTTAGCCTAAAGTGGGGAATTTCTACTAAGAATAATTAGGTGCCACCCACTACATAATTTTAAGATTCAGAATATAATAATCAATATTTTGTGCTCGTTTTATCCAACACTATTGTGTATGGGCTTAATTTCTCTGTCCAATTCTTTCCTAGCAGTGTCACTGCCTAAAAGAGCAACAAATATGCAATTTGGAATAAGTCAAAATTAGTAGAAACCATTTCAGAGTGTCTGTGGGATGTATTTTCTGCAGGCATCAAGAGGGAGTTAACTTTGATTGGAAAATAAGAAAAGAATATATCCAAGATGCCACTAGAAATGCCTCCATAATGGAGAATGATTTCAAAATTAGTGCAATCACTAAATATATATATAGTGATTTTTTCTGATAATCCCTAATATTTTTAGAGATGGTACTCATTATCCAACTTGGAGGGAAGGACTGGTATTTGCTCAATTTTGCTCAACCATATGGTTGTACAATCCCAGATTATTAAATTGAGATAAAGAAAATGTGCACAGAAATCTTTATTTGCTTTAAGATTATTAAATTTTGGGAGATTCATCTCTTTGAATGTCCTTCTGTTAAAGAAATTGAATTTTCTAAGTTTGTGGAAGTGTAGAAAATTCATTACAGAGAGAGATACAATGTTTTATCACTCACACACAAATTCTAATAGATTTTCCTGAGTCTTAGTGAAACCTAAAATCATGCAGGTAGTACTTCAGGGAAGATCAGTTAATATAATAATATAATGTGTGTGTGTGTGTGTGTGTGTGTGTGTGTGGTGTGTTGTTGTGGAGAGAGAGAGAGAGAGAGAGATGAGAGAGAGAGAGACAGAGACAGAGACAGAGACAGAGACGAGACAGAGAGGAATGTTGGAACTGAAATTAAAATCATTGTTGCTCTTACATAGGACATTTACAAAGCAAAATTTTAAAAAGGGTTCAGAAGCACAGACTTCAGAATGTGGGGACAGGTAGCTTTCTACTGAGTTATGAACCAGAATATTCAACAATGGCAGAATAAAATGGAACCAACATATTTTGAAATGAGATGAACCTCACCTGATTATTAAATGGTTGGGCCAAATGATCTTCTCTTCAGAAACAGTCAACAGTCTGTCGAATCCATTCCTGCTTCTATCTCTCCAACTTTGACTCTAAAAAATGTCTGGTTTGGAAATGTGATCCAGTTTATGACACCAAATCCTGCAACCATTTCCCCATTGTTATCAAAGGAAATCTTCTCTCCAGTACTGCTATTAAATGATACGCTTTGCAGAAAGTGGTGGAGCTTTAAAAATATGGGATGAAAAAGTTAAAATGATGGAAATGCATTTCATTAGATCAGCATCCATATTGTACTGAATCGTCCCTCAAAACTTTCAGTAGGCTACTGTAATGGATATTAACAGTTTAGCAAATGAAGCATTAAATCAATTTATACACAGTCAGTAACATAAGTAAAAAATAATAATTTCCTGTATGATTTCAATTATAGCTTGTGTATATTATTAGCAAGTGCTGTATATTGCAGAATCATACATTTTATTACTAGTGATGACATAATATACAAATTAGCCAAATAAAATATCATTTTCTAGAGAGGTAACATGCAGTTTTCATAAATTGCAAAGGAACATTTTAAAGCAGTCATATTGTTTCCTAATAACCTTTAGAGCGCTCCATGGCATCGGACCGGGGTATTTACGAGACGCCTTCTGCTATCAATAGCTCTCACCGACCAGTACGCTCCCATAGAGAGGGGCTTCTCAGGGTGGCCGTCGGCCAAAAAGAGTGTTTTGACTGGCGGCCCCCAGGGGGAGAGCCTTCTCTGTGGGGGCACCTACCATCTGGAACGAGCTCCCCCCAGAGATATGGAGGATCCCGGACCTGCTCATGTTTCGTCGTTGCTCTAAAAACTTTTTTATTTCAGCAGGCTGGCTGGCCTAACTCTCCTCTTTTAAATTTTTAATTCGTGTGATTTATTATAAATTGGGTGTTTTAAATCTGTGTTTCGGCCAAAATATTTAAAAATTTTAAGGAATTTTTTAAATATTTGTATTATCTGTTTTTTATCTTGTGTTCACGCCCTGAGTCCTTCGGGAGTAGGGCGGTAGAGAAATTTGATTAATAATATTAATAATAATAATTATAATAATAATAATAATAATAATAATATTTCACTTCCCTTAATGCATGGAATTCAATTAATCAGAGAATCATTTATCTAAAGGATAACTCGTGGTCTCTATATTTAGAAAATGGCCAGGTCTCTCTTTGTAAGCTAAAAATTACAGTTCAAAGCAGTGGTGAAATCTATAATTTTGTTACTACCGGTTATGTGGGTGTGGCTTGGTTTGGGGGGGTATATAGACTGGCGTGGGCGTGGCCAATTTTTTTTTTTTTACTTTTAAAAGCATTTTTTCAGCCGAAGAGGTTGTAGAAAAATGCTTTTAAAAATAAAAAGAAAAAAAGCCTCTGATGATTGTGCGGCTCAGCTGGGCTATGCGGGGGGTGGGCAGGATTTTTATTACATATTCTCCAAACCACCCACCTCCATCACTACCAGATCGGCACCGAAAGATAGGTGCTAAATAGCATTTCACCCCTGGTTCACAGGGTTTTGGGGTTTTTTTTTCAGGACAAAAGAAGGATGTAATTTTAATTGCTTCTGATAAATCACTACAAATGGATAATATGAAAGTGAACCCCACAAATAAAATAAATATATTATTAAGTGACACTAGAATTTGGATAATAATGAGATATTTAAGAAACGAAGCCAAGTTTTCTCTGAACAGTATGAAAGGAAAGTTGACATCATGTAGAAAATCAACCACAAAGCATAGAGCAGACAGCAGGTGATCCCCAAATGTGTTGTGGCTAACAGTTGTAGCTAGATCAGACAAACAATAGAAGTTTCTAAAAGGGGAAAATATATGCAATAAGCTTAAGATGAAAGGGCTGATAGACAACTCTGCATCTTAAACAATGAACTATATCTGCTGAGATGTTCTAAGTCAGGAGTGTCAAACTCAAGACCCGGGGTGGAATCTGGCCCATGGGTGCTTAGATCTGATCTGTGGGGCTGCCAAATGACCAGCCCGCAATACCTCTGCCAGCGAAAATGGAGCTTGTGAGGGCTGCGTGCGGCCCTCCCTAGCTTTGTTTTCACTGGCAGAGGTTTGCAGAAAGCCATCGCAGCCGAAAACGGAGCTTGTGAGTGCTGCAAGTGGCACTCCTGAGCTCTGTTTTCTGTGGCGGAGGGTTGCAGGAAGGCATAACAGCCAAAAACAGAGCTCGGGAGGGCCGTGGGTGGCACTCCCAAGCTCCATTTTTCCTGGCAGAGGGTTTCAGGAGGCTGTCAAAGCAGAGCTTGGGAGCCCGTTTTTGCTGGCAGAGCACTCTGGCCAACACAGGCACCCCCGACACAAAATGTCCACACCCACCCTGGCCATGCCCACCCCAGCCCCCCAAGGTCAAACACAACTCTGATGTAGCCTTCAATGAAATTGAGTCTGACACCCCTATTCTAAGTAGTCTACTCACCTTCCATGAGTCTTGACTGAGGACTTTCTGCCTCCTCATTGCCCTTTGTTGGCCTTGGGAAGAGTACAGACTATGCAAAGCATGTGCAATTGCATAGACAGCATTGTAGACGCTGTAGCTGTGGGCAGTCATGCTAGTTTCAAATACATTCGCAGGGAGAGTTTCCAGTTTCTCTTCCCCACTGCACATTGTCTCATCCTCTTCCTCTGTAGAGGAGGTTGGGAGCATACAATTAAATGTCTGTTGCCAGAATTCTGTTAAAAAGCCATCTCCTTTATTCAAAGCTGGGTTTCTCCTTTGAACAAACTGTTGGAATCCTAAGACCTCCATTGATTGAATGGAAAGGGACAGAGTTCCATGAATGAAATCCACTTTCCAGCCCCTTTGAAAGATGACTGAGGAAAAGTCTACATCTGCAGTCATCACCCAGACTTTTGCAATATAATCCACATTACTAAATTCCATGAAGTGCAGTAAAAACCTTAAATTTACCACACTCTGAAATTCACCATGAAACAGGACTGTATTAGTTGTACTGTTGAAGACTATGTTCAAAATGCCATGTACCTTTTGGAAATATTTTTCATCGTCACTCACAAAATCAGACGGCATATTTTGCATGAATTCAAAGCAGATTCCTTTTTTGGAAAACATGGGAACCACATTCCTCAACAAGATCTCTGCTATGTTGCCAATGTCAAGGTAAAACACCCCAATCCAGGTCCAACCAAAATTCAGAAAGAGCTGGAGAAGTCCTTTGTACTGATGGCTTGCATTTGGCAGCATCCAATAAAAGAAAGGAGATTGACTTAGAGCATTGATCTCTGGAGCAGAGCTATATGCAACCTGGACCACAGAAGGAAATGGGAAAGGAAAACAATTAGATCTAACGTGAATTGAGACTCTTCCTCCATCCTTTTTGCATTACTATACTCACTACAAGGGATATGGTGGCTCAGTGGCTAAGATGCTGAGTTTGTCGATTGAAAGGTCAGCAGTTCAGCAGTTTGAATCCCTGGTGCTGCGTAACAAGGTGAGTTCCCATTACTTGTCCTAGCTTCTGCCAACCTAGCAGTTTGAAAACATGTAAAAAATGCAAGTAGAAAAATAGAGACCATCTTTGGTGGGAAGGTAACAGCGTTCCGTGTGCCTTTGGCATTTAGTCATGCCGAACACGTGACTATGGAGACGTCTTCGGACAGCGCTGGCTCTTTGGCTTTGAAACAGAGATAAGCACTGTCTCCTAGAGTTGGGAATGACTAGCACATATTTGAGAGGGGAACCTTTACCTTTACCTTTACCTTTATCTTTACCTTCACCTTCACCTTCACCTTCACCTTTACCCTTACACTCACTCTACATTTAAATTCCTTGTTCCAAACTTCAACTGAAATCACCAACCTAATTTTATGTTGTCACATACATGAAAAGTCTATTGCATGAACTGAATGGTTGCAGACCCAGTATACACTCCTAAATACATTCCTCTCTCTCTCTCCCTCCCTCTCTCCCTCTCTCTCTCTCTTTGACAATGAACTTGCCTGCACCAACTTGTAAGCTGTGATGATGGTAGCCCTATCAAGAAATTCAGTAGAACTTGGTCCCCCTATGGCAGCTACCAGATCATTATGAAAATGACACTGATAGTTTGGGATGAATCTATTTGGAGTGGAGAGAAGTTCCATTGCAGCTAGGTAGGTGTATCTTGAATTAAAATAGTCATTGTAGATACTGAAGCCTAAGGTGATGTTGGGTAAGAACTGGGGATTTTCATTAATTTCCTTTACAGCAAAAACCAAAGCCAAGACTTGCTGGTAGCTTTGAGTCAGTAACCTGGAATGAAAAAGAGAAATAGGATTGCAGTATTCTCTGTGCAGTTGTTTGAGAAGGAGAAGTGTATAATAGACTAATGATGGGTGATAGTTCTTACTATGTTCTTTATTATTAAAGTAATCCCTAAATTATTTCTGGGGTAAAAGGTGTTTTGGCTATTAGAGAATGTACATAGAGCATAGAATCAAAGGGCAGGGAATGACCTTTATGGTCTTCTAGTCCAACCTCTGTCTCAAGGCAGGAGTCTTGGTCAAATGGTTATCCAGTCTGTTTTTGAAAACCCCCAGTAATGAAGCTCCCACAGTTCTGTTCCATTGATTAATTATTCTCACTGTTAGAAAAATCCTTCTAACTTCTAAAATGGATCTTCTCTTTAACAAGGTTCCACCCATTGTTTCTTGCTCTGTATTCTGGTATTTTGATGAATCAGTCAATCCCCTTTTCTTGGTGACCTCCTCAAGTTATGGAAGCCAATTATCATGTCCCTACTCATCCTTACAGTATCTTCAATAAATTAGACATAGCTAGCTCCTT